AACAAAAAAATGCAATACCAAAAAAATCTACCATCACCGTTAAAAACAGCGTCCCATTTTTCGTCAATTTTTTTGCACCACCACGTTCATGATTTGTCCTTTTGTCAGTGCGGTTTCGTTTTTCATGGAGGTATTTCTGGAATATCGGTCGACTTAATTTTTCAGCGATACACCACGTCAGAAAGAGATTGGCTTTTGTTTCGCGGAAGCGGCGCCGGCAAATATATTTGAAAAAAATTGACAGATTCAGATATTGACCACCATCTGCTCTCGAATATTTCGTCGCCATGTTTGTTCCTTTTTTTTTCTAAACCTACACACGCTGAAATATCGCCCGATGTTGTCTCAACGGATTTATGTATCGTGATCTCGTGTGAAATAAAGAAAGCTGGTTAATGAAGATTGATAGGTACATGTATCGCGTTAGACGTTTTAATAGCGCTGAATCTGTTGTTCCTTTATTAAATTACCGACAGCGAATAGAACTCCTCGATTTTAACATTCGACGGTATAAATAACACTGTAGGATGTAATTTAATCGGGCATTTTGGTCAGCCGTGACAGATTCGTGTAATTAGTCTTCTGTGTTTGAGAGTTCACTTGTTTTTATTTCAAACAAACTGCTATCAAATCTGTAATCGTAACATTCTCGTGTTTAATTTGTCAACGTTTGACAAGGGAGTGTTCTCCACGATTACTGTCTTACAAGAGGTGAATGTAAATAAGGGGATTGCAACAATAATTCTGTGCATTCATTAGAATCATGGTGTGTAATCGTCGTGTACAAAATTTCTAGTCTTGAATAGTGTTAAATGACGAACAATAAATATTTAAGCAAAGGAGAAACTATTAAATCAATAAATAATTCAAAAATTAACTACATATATAAATAATTAAAAAATTGACTATTAAATAAATAGTTAAAAAATTCAGTACTTGATGAATAGTTAAAAATTTATGGAAACAAATGTATGTGCGTCATGACGCAAATGAAGAGTAGCGAAAAATCAATGTACCATATGTGATATAGGAATATAGTATATTGTTTCTTACTGAAGATACATTGTAATTAAAACAATTCTTATCGTATAGAATTTGAAGCAAACTAGTACTCTGCTTCATCCTGAAGATCCATTAGAATCAATACATATTCGAATAAACCAAGTTCATATTAAACTCCGAACACTTCACGCAGAACTCTAAATGAAGATCAGCGAAAAATCAATCAAACACACGTGATACAGCAATCTAGTATATTGTTTCTTTCCGAAGATCCATTGTATGTGCAGCGTCAGCACTGAAATTTCTTATCACCTTTGCAAACTTATTCTTAATACATCAATCTTTAATTAATCTTTTGACTTGTGATATGTCGCACTCGTGACGCACGTTGCGTCATGTGATTTGTGTGTGCGTCATGGTGTCAGCGAGTGACGATTAAACGACGCGATTTAGGATTCCTGATGAGTGATAGGTGGACTGTGTTTGAGAAATGAATTTCACTTCGAATGATCTGACTTGGTACTTGATACTTGGAACATGATACATGAAAGTCGATGCATGAAGGTTGATACATGGAACTTGATACATGAAACTTGATATATGAAGGTTGATACATGAAACTTGATATATGAAGGTTGATACATGAAACTTGATATATGAAGGTTGATACATGAAACTTGATATATGAAGGTTGATACATGAAACTTGATATATGAAGGTTGATACATGAAACTTGATATATGAAGGTTGATACATGAAACTTGATATATGAAGGTTGATACATGAAACTTGATATATGAAGGTTGATACATGAAACTTGATATATGAAGGTTGATACATGAAACTTGATATATGAAGGTTGATACATGAAACTTGATATATGAAGGTTGATACATGAAACTTGATATATGAAGGTTGATACATGAAACTTGATATATGAAGGTTGATACATGAAACTTGATATATGAAGGTTGATACATGAAACTTGATATATGAAGGTTGATACATGAAACTTGATATATGAAGGTTGATACATGAAACTTGATATATGAAGGTTGATACATGAAACTTGATATATGAAGGTTGATACATGAAACTTGATATATGAAGGTTGATACATGAAACTTGATATATGAAGGTTGATACATGAAACTTGATATATGAAGGTTGATACATGAAACTTGATATATGAAGGTTGATACATGAAACTTGATATATGAAGGTTGATACATGAAACTTGATATATGAAGGTTGATACATGAAACTTGATATATGAAGGTTGATACATGAAACTTGATATATGAAGGTTGATACATGAAACTTGATATATGAAGGTTGATACATGAAACTTGATATATGAAGGTTGATACATGAAACTTGATATATGAAGGTTGATACATGAAACTTGATATATGAAGGTTGATACATGAAACTTGATATATGAAGGTTGATACATGAAACTTGATATATGAAGGTTGATACATGAAACTTGATATATGAAGGTTGATACATGAAACTTGATATATGAAGGTTGATACATGAAACTTGATATATGAAGGTTGATACATGAAACTTGATATATGAAGGATGATACATGAAAGTCGATGCATGAAGGTTGATACATGGAACTTGATACATGAAACTTGATATATGAAGGTTGATACATGGAACTTGATACATGAAACTTGATATATGAAGGTTGATACATGAAACTTGATATATGAAGGTTGATACATGAAACTTGATATATGAAACTTGAAACATGACACTTAAAACTTGATACTTAATACTTGAAACATGATACTTGACACCTGAAACCTGATACTTGTAACTCGATACGTGAAACTTGAAACATGACTCTTGCTACCTGAAACCTGATACTTGTAACTTGATACGTGAAACTTGAAACATGACTCTTGCTACCTGAAACCTGATACTTTTAACTTGATACGTGAAACTTGATACTTGATACCTGAAACCTGATACGTACTTTTCGTTTTGCAACATACTTGATGATTCGAGAGTGCCTCTCCAAAGACTTTGTACTTCTTACAACGTTTGTGACATTTCATTGAAGAGTTGATTAACGAATGAATAAATTATTTTGCAATAACAATTCATCGAATAAATCGCCTATATATCCGACAGCTGATCTGTCTGTCGCATTGCGAATCACCCTGAAGTTCGTTTCGCCATAAAAACTTTAAACCTGTCCCCATTTCGCCTTTCTTCGTTACTCAACCCTGTAACTTCATGACGAAACTTTCAATCGCTTCTGACTGAATTTTCACGCGATATGAAACCCTTTATTAACGAGGCGCAAGCTTCATGGATATTCCGGATAATTAACTAAAATTAATATTCCTGTTCCAAGCAGGAAATTAAAGGCCGTGCATAGAATCACTCGGATACATATTAATCCCCGTCTGTTAAACCCAACTTTTAGAAACGTACGAAGAATTGTTGGAAAACTTGCACTAGAGTTCAAACCATTTTTGTGAAAAATTACTGTAATAAATTTACTGGAAAATTAATGTAGCTACACAAATAACAGTTATGATACTTCAATTTTGATTTGCTATTTGTAGTTGAAAGTTTCGATAACTTTCTGATGGAACTTTCTGATATTACAAATTGTAAAATATTAATTTTTATCTTCCCATTTGAGAAAACAATCCGAACTGCAATTTTCCGAAATAAAATCATAAATAAAAAATTATTAATATTTAGTTTCCTTATTTGATGAAACGATCTGTTACTTCAGAGTGCAGTTCTGCAAAATAAAATCATATAATAAATTATTAATATTTAATTTCCTTATTTGATGAAACGATCTGTTACTTCAAAGTGCAGTTCTGCGAAATAAAATCATATAATAAATTTAAAATGTTCAGTTTTAATGTTTATTTTCTTACGCGAGGAAACAGTCCAACATTGCGAGCTGCAATTCTACGAAGTAAAATCATACATAACAAATTTTTAATTTGCTGTTTCAACTTTAATTTTCTAATACGAGACAACGATCTGATACTGCGCGTTGCAATTATTGGAAATCGAACAAATATTAATTTACTGTTTTAATAATAACTTTTTTATACGAGAAAGCAATTTTGCAAACTGTAGCTTTGTTAAATAAAGTCATATGTAACTAAATATTAATTCACAGCGTTAATTAAAATTTTCTGAAGACGAATGCAAGTTTTGGTTATGGAACGATTATAGGAATATTTTGAGTAGATATTAATAACATAACGACGTATGGGGTTACTCGTAAGCGTTACTTTTGAGACAGTAATAAAGCGTTTACTGTCCGTCCAGCGCAGCCTATCTCGGATCATAAACTGTGTTTTATAACCATAAACTCTTCTCCGCAGTTTCGTTCTCCCTCGATCATCGTTCACGAATCAGAGGATGCTTTTTCGCTCTGTATACCCGCTTCACGTTTGAATTTTAAGTGGTGCTTTTTATTCCCCCGTGCAACTTTTCCGCCCGTCGATTACGTTCAAGTGGTCTCACAGTAAAATCGCGACGGTATTTTTCTATTTTCGGTCACCCCTCTTTTTCTCGAAATTAGTCTTAACCCTTTAACGCACTCGAAATTTCTGCGAACGGTCCAGTTTCAAACTCGAATTAATTTACCGCACGAATTTTGATATTAAATTTCTGCGTCGCGAAATTTATGTGTGTATAAATTTAACTTTTTAATTATTCCACTACTTTTTTTGTTTCGTATTATTGTTGGTAAAAATTAATACTCCGAAAAGAGTAAATTTTGTAACTTAATTTAAGAAATTTGTAAATTTGACTGGGTTCATGATTTTAGTGTTAATATACTTTTTGACGCGATCAATTTTAATTTCAATAAAAATTGATATATTTTTGAGAAAAGTAACTTAAGAAATTTTTAAAAATTTTTGAATAAAAAACTTGTGAATCGATCGCTGTAATTATAAAAATATCTAATTATGGCAATATTTGAATTTATAAAGAAAACTCACCCTTGTGGGAAACTGGACCATGCACGACTGGTACTCAAACACAAATATGTGGACTCGATTCTGCAATCAAAAAATTATTAAATTAATTCCATGTTGCCTTCATGATATAAAATTACTGTGTTGCTTGAACTATTCGAATCGAATTAATTTTAGTAAAATCGCAGAAAATGTCTCAGTAAACTTTTTGTTCGATTCAATATGTCACCACATGTGTGAAAAAATAATGTTCACATATGTATGAAAATTATGTCTGCACATGTGAACAAAAATATTTATATATATGAATGAGAATAACTACATATGTGATTTAAAATAACTGTAATATGTAAATGAAAATAATTACATATGTGATAGAAAATAACCACATATGTGGGTAAAAATATCTACATATATGACTGAAAATAAGTATGTAACATAATTGAATAAAACTACATATATGACTGAAAGTAGCTGCATATGTATTTGAAGATAACTACATATGTAAATAAAAATAACCGCACATATGATTGGAAGTAGCTACATATGTGATTAAAAAAAACCACATATGTGAACGAAAATAGCTACATATATGACTGAAAATAGATACATATATGATTGAAAATAACTACACATATGTTTGAAAGTAGCTGCATATGTAATTGAAAACAACTACACATATGACTGAAAGTAGTTACATGTGTGACTGAAAATAACTACATATGTGAATGAAAGTAACTACATATATGGCTGAAAGTAGCTACATATGTGATTGAAAAAAACCACATATGTGAATGAAAATAACCACATATATGACTGAAAATAGATACATATATAATTGAAAATAACTACACACAGGTTTGAAAGTAGCTGCATATGTGATTGAAAACAACTACACATATGACTGAAAGTAATTACATGTGTGACTGAAAATAACTACATATGTGAATGAAAATAACTCCATACATGATTGAAAATAACACACACGAGGAAAAATACCTCCATATGCATACGAAACTCACATGTATGAATAAAAATGAACACACACGTTCACACACATGAACGAAGGTAACGCGACACACGATCACACATGAACAAAAAAACCTACACACACGACTAAAAATAACTCCACACAAAATACCTACAAACACGATTAAAAATAACAATAAACAAGAATAAAATGAACGTCCACATAAAACAACACCAAAAGAAAAATGAAAAGTATACAAAATTAGCTGAAACCCGTCATCGTGTTCGTGTTTATAGCGTTTCCGTTTGTACAAACTCGAAGCCGAACGGTTTTCCTGGCAACGTAACGTTATTGATTAACTGTTAACGCGTTTCAACTGAACAACCAGCAAATAAGCTCGTAAACCAACCGGACATTTTTCCCAACGTTTCGCCGTTGCAAAACAGCGGGGAGTCTAAATTCGCGTTTCGTTTGGCCCAAGTATATAAAGCGAGTACATCCTATTAGCACCGTAGCTTTTCCGCGACGCGTTGCAAGCTGCTTAAACTTAATAGCGTCGAGTAAGCTTAACGTAAGACTGTTTTTATAGATTTACCCTGTTGAAAATAAATCCTTGTGGTCAGGATGGAAAATTGAAACACCATCGCGACGGTGACTAAAACATGCTCGACAAGTTTCTCGGCACGTTTATTGTAAATACTAATTTATTCCATTGAATGATTTCCAATATTTTATAGTAGTTATTTTCATTAATTTTAGATGAGACGTTAGGTTAGGTTAGGTTAATCGTGAGGTAGGTAAGTGGTAACTAGTAGGTACATGAGTCTATGCATTTTGTTAATATGTTCGTTGGTATGATCATAGGTGACCAGTGTTGCAAGTTTAATTACATTTATTATTAATGGAAAATGCTGACGAAAAAATATTTTGGGAATTGTTAATATGGCAGATATTATGTACTAACAGATGAAAAAGGTGAAATTGAAAGATTAAGTATCGTTTTAATTAATAATATTAGAAATCTCAATAATCTACATATGGTGTGTCTGACCACATATGTCTGAATCTACTTATGTCATTCAACACGTTGCTAAAATATAATTTCCTAAATGTAACAGTATTAATAATATTAATAATAGTAATTTTAATAACCTTGACAACCTTAACAATTTTAAAAGTTTTGAGAAATTTAATAATCTTAATAAGTAACATATAGTGTGTCTGACCACATATGTCAGAATCTACTTATGTCACCCAACACGTTGCTAAAATATAATTTCTTAAATGTAACAGTATTAATAATATTAATAATAGTAATTTTAATAACCTTGACAACCTTAATAATTTAAAAAATTTGGAGAAACTTAATAATCTTAATAATCTACATATAGTGTGTCTGACCACATATGTCAGAATCTACTTATGTCACCCAACACGTTGCTAAAATATAATTTCCTAAATGTAACAGTATTAATAATATTAATAATAGTAATTTTAATAATCTTGACAACCTTAACAATTTTAAAAATTTTGAGAAACTTAATAAACTCAATAATCTACTCACATATGTCTGCATCTACTTATGTCACCCAACACGTTGCTAAAATATAATTTCTTAAATGTAACATTATTAATAATATTAATAACAGTAATTTTAATAATCTCGACAACCTTAACAATTTTAAAAATTTTGAGAAACTTAATAATCTTAGTAATCCACATATAGTGTGTCTGACCACATATGTCAGAATATACTTATGTCACCCAACACGTTGCTAAAATATAATTTCTTAAATGTAACAGTATTAATAATATTAATAATAGTAATTTTAATAACCTTGACAACCTTAACAATTTTAAAAATTTTGAGAAACTTAATAATGTTAATAATCAACATATAGTGTCTGATCACATATGTCAGAATCTACTGTGACAGTGTATGTATTAAGTTAAATATAATTTCTAAATTGCAACAATCTTAATAATCTCAACTTGAATCTTAACAATTTGAACAATCTTACTAAATTTAATAATCTTAACAATTTTAATAATCCCAATAATCAAAATTAAATATGTCTGACCACATATGTCAGAATCTACTGACAGTTCCCATATTAAATACAATTTCTCAAATACAACAATCTCCACAATCTCAACAATAACATCCAAAATAATCTCCACAAAAACCTTACCAATCCTCACAATCAAAAATATAAAAAATCTCATTAACCCTAAAAATGTCACCATACACATAAATTTCAATAATCCACAACATCTCTCCACACTCTACTTACATCAACCAACGAACAAGAACCTAACCCTTTGCACTCGAAGATAATTTTACTGTTTGCAAACAGCAACTTTAAAATATTAATTAAAATGTTAAATGACTTCTTTCGAACGAAGTTATACTAATAATTTCCACTATTGTCAATTTCACTATGTTCATACATCACATAAGCACTATTATAGGATTAATTAAATAATGCCTCTTCTAAATTATTGTATTAAATCGAATGGCGCCTAAGAGACGCCTCTCGAGTGCAAAGGGTTAATATCTTAAACGTCATCAACAATAATTGAAAACCCGTCAAAAGATAAACAATACACACAAAAATCAGTCATAAATCGCAATAAATCCTGATTGTACGTTCTCGGTAATATCAATATAGCATCGAGATAGCGGGTTAACCGTTTGATATGTAACTCCGCGATAGTCGTGTCACGTTATTAGATAGGGAGATCGATGCAATATCAGAAATGATGATATTTCACGGTCCCGTTGATCGTTAAGCAATTCAGTGTAAAATGAACGAGTGCAAATTTGTCGTATGCACGTTCGTTGTTCATAGACAAACGGAATGGCCGCACACCGGTAAATCACCGACGTATTTCTGTTCCAGTATCACGCGAGAGTTATTAAAGTCCGTACATCGCGTCGCATTTAACCAACACCCCATAAAACTGTAAACACGTTGTTCCACATTGGTTTTATCGTGTTCAACTCGTTTGCGTGCATACGTTTCGGCTGGAACTATCCTATTGTTCGGGTAGTGGAAGAAATGTTACGTTTCTAGTTTTCCGTTTATATATTTGCTATTTTGGGAAGTTGGGGGAAATTTTAAATGACATTTGGGTGGAAGGAATTTTTGGGGGAGGGGGATTTAGAAATTTTGGGATGTAGAGGTTTGTGGAGGGGAGATTTGGAAATTTTGGAGGGTTGAAATTTGGGGGTTGAAGATGTAGGAATTTTAGAATGTCAGGAGTGAGGGAGGGAAAGTTAGGAATTTTGGGATGTGAAAATTGGGGGGTTGAAAATTTAGGAATTTTAGAACGTCAGGAGTGAGGGAGGGAAAATTAGGAATTTTGGGATGTGAAAATTTGGGGGTTGAAAATTTAGGAATTTTAGAATGTCAGGAGTGAGGGAGGGAAAATTAGGAATTTGGGGATGTGAAAATTGGGGGGTTGAAAATTTAGGAATTTTAGAATGTCAGGAGTGAGGGAGGGAAAGTTAGGAATTTGGGGATGTGAAAATTGGGGGGTTGAAAATTTAGGAATTTTAGAATGTCAGGAGTGAGGGAGGGAAAGTTAGGAATTTGGGGATGTGAAAATTGGGGGGTTGAAAATTTAGGAATTTTAGAATGTCAGGAGTGAGGGAGGGAAAATTAGGAATTTTGGGATGTGAAAATTTGGGGGTTGAAAATTTAGGAGTTTTAGAATTCTGGAGTGAGGCAGGGAAAGTTAGGAATTTTGGGATGTGAAAATTTGGGGGTTGAAAGTTTAGGAATTTTAGAATGTCAGGAGTGAGGGAGGGAAAATTAGGAATTTTGGGATGTGAAAATTTGGGGGTTGAAAATTTAGGAATTTTAGAATGTCAGGAGTGAGGGAGGGAAAGTTAGGAATTTTGGGATGTGAAAATTTGGGGGTTGAAAATTTAGGAATTTTAGAATGTCAGGAGTGAGGGAGGGAAAGTTAGGAATTTTGGGATGTGAAAATTTGGGGGTTGAAAATTTAGGAATTTTAGAATGTCAGGAGTGAGGGAGGGAAAGTTAGGAATTTTGGGATGTGAAAATTTGGGGGTTGAAAATTTAGGAATTTTAGAATGT